AAAAAAAAAAAAAAAAAAAAAAGAAGCTAATATCTAAGCAGGTGCGTACTGCTACTTTGTAGTCAGCTTTCAGTGATTGGGAGGAAGCTTTGTAACGCGTCGACAGCTTTCGTGGAAAACTAAAAGCATTTGGAGATTTAATTATTCCGATAGAAAATTTTATTTTCCATTGTCAATGATATCCGCCATTTAACACGAAAATATAGTCATCAGCCCTCTCTGCACGAGCTAGATAATTATTTACACACAACGAATAAAACCAGACATTAATTTTTTCATTATCTGTAAGCAAGTGAAAAAGCCCCGTTTAATTAAAGACCTTTGGGTTCTTGATATTGGTGTTAAACTTCGACTTTTGCTCTATACTTGTGACGTACCGTTACTGTTTGTGTTTGTGTTTGTGTTTGTGTTTGTGTTTGTGTTTGTGTTTGTGTTTGTGTTTGTGTTTGTGTTTGTGTTTGTGTTTGTGTTTGTCTTCGTCTTCGTCTTCGTCTTCGTCTCCGTCTTCGTGCTGTCCTGTTTATTTTTTCCACTTGCCTTCATCACTTGCCTTTTGATATCAAGCACGTTTGGAAATGTACATGTAGCTAATGCAAAACTCCGGCTGTCGGCACATATCTTACTCTAAGCTTAAAATCGTTCTTGACTTTGTTTACTTTAATATACAAAGCCACACACCGTCTAGGTTTAAATGTAACTTTTTATACTTTATATTAAGATAATTTGGAGATTTTGGAAATGCGATAAAAAAAATAACACATTCCCCTTGTGTTTGAAATACTGTTTCACGACTGTTCCAGAAAAAAATGCTCAAGATAAGGTCATTTCCCTTAAATCAAGATAATCAACCCTAGACGTCAGTCTCAAGCATTAGCAGTTAGCGAACTGCATTGTTTCATTAAGTGACAGTGGACAAAATTAAAAAAAAAAAAAAATTAAAAATTTCATGTCATGACAGGTGAAACGTCCTATTTCTAAAAGAGTCTGTCTTCTTCAGAGCTACCAGCATTTTTTATCGCTACAATTTATGGCTTTCAACTAAATTTCAACTATTACGCTTTGATTCCCTTTCCTTTTCTCTTGTGTTATTCACCGATCATATTTTTTCATTCCACCCAGTCTCTACGTTTTTCTATCTGATATCGCGAAACGAGACCAATATGGCCTGTAATCTTCATGGTTCATCAGACAAAGAAAGGGAGAAGAAAACACAATCAATGAATTAACTATATTTCGTCTCAGTGTTTGGTGGACATTCTATTTTAAATTACAAAAAATTGGTGCTTTATGTACAATACAGTATCCCACTGTATTAGGGAATAGGGAAACACTACTAGCAGCCTTCAACCTATCTGCCCGGATTACAACAGAAAGACGAGTTTTTGATCCTTGTTAACACCCCTTTCATGGCTAAGACGCAGATATAAAAACCCCCAATCTGTTCATTTTGTAAAGTGGAAGCTATGGGGTACGCTGTTTATGACCAGCGAGTCCTTGACCAAGTGTAAAGCTTTGACATGATCGTTGTCATCTCTTAATTTGTCAAATTTTTATTGCTCTATAATAAACGAGCTGATAGGTTCATCGACTTTATTTATGCAGATGAGAAGTTCGCATTGAAAAAATATCTACCTTTTCGAATACAAATTTTGCTCTCCTTTATCGAAAAAGTCACGTTATTGTTTTTTAAAACGTCTATTGAAACATTACTTCGACGAAAATGAATCGGCAAGGAAGCAAGCCCTTATATTGACCCTAAATTTCCAAGTTACTGTTTTGTGGCGTATGTTCAACCATAGCCATAGCAATATATTTAAATTTCAGTTTCAAGACAGTAGACTGCAATAGACAGGTGTTTCAAATTTACCACAGTTTACAGCTTGAGTTGTCGTAAAAATCTCTCTCAGTCTTTTTTCAAAATAGACCTCTGTAAAAGGAAGTAAGAGGTTGTTCCACTTACGGTTCATTGCCTTAACGTCCAAACTGTTAATTTAAACTTAGTAAACAGACATGAAGTTATATTACTTCTCAACGTGGTGAACTTCTCACGCACTGTAAACCGTTTTTAGTACTCTGCGTTGTGAGTAATTGCAAGAGCGTGGGGTAGGCGACAGAATTGAATAGACTGGTTAAAAAAAGAAAAAAGAAAAGAAAAGATGTATCAGTCAAGACGCTGTTTCTTTACTTTTTCCTTTACCGAATGAACACCTTCACGTCACCATTTAAGTGATGACAAATTACAGTTGCAATGTGCTCCTTTGAAGTCAGCGCCATTCCTCGTAGGAAAAATTAAAACGTTCTTTCTGGATTATTATTCGATTGCTGCGCACTTACTCACAATCTTTGTCTCTCACACCAGCGACGACGACATGTTCACTTGAATGGTGAAATCCAATCTTTGACCTCAAACATCCTTTCAATTCTAAAATATGGTCTCCATGTTCACTGAATACGTGAATACGCCCAACAAGATGACACGACCATCACTCGTGCAAGTCGGATCTGATGCAAGCTCTAATAGTCATTTTCCGAAACTGCGAACAAATTGTCCATCATTATCGTACAGACGACCACTTTATTAGATCTGCACAGAACGTTGTCTTTTCCATCGATAGCCATACCATGCCAGCTATCCCAGGACCGCTTCCTACCGAAAATCGGTGATCATGAAGCAGTTCCCCGGTGTATGTAAACTTGCGCACAACGTTGCTTAACTCGAATCCCCTTTTTCAGTCTTATACAATTCAACCAGAGCATAGAAGTTGTCATTCATGTCGGAGGTTACATCATAAACTCGCAGAACTGCTTCGTGTACATCATCAATAGGGAGACTGACGTGGTCTATGAACTGTCTTTTCCGATCAAACACCTTTACCACCGCACCGTCCGCTATTATGAATTGTCCGCTGGAATTTGTAGCGATACTGTGTGGCTGCTTAAGCCTATGACTTTCCGCACCCTCCTTGCCAAATGACCACAGCGGAAGAAAACAATGCTCTGTGCCCCGCTTACAGAGAGTTTTACTGATTCTTCCGTCGTACAGCGGATCGACTTTTGCCGATTTAGTACCAACTGTAGGCCACATTCAGAAAGAATCGCCTTTACCGACGACCTGGGTGACATCGAAGAAAACGCGTTTTACGTGACAAACATTGGAAATGATCTTCCTACGTTCCATTTTGCTAGACAAAGCCATTGGGAGTGCATTGATGCCTTTCTTGAGCTGAATATGAAAACTATTCTGTACCTCTGCCAGACAGTTTAGCTCATTAATACACACTCTACACGGTGCTATTGCATCCACAGGACTGTCTACTGTCTGTAATATTGTCGCCATGACTCGATTTTTCATTGCCAAGATGCGGTGAGACGTTTTTAGAGCTTCATTTTTAAAAGCCCTTGTTGCTTGCCTTCACCTCTCGCATGTCGTCAGCAAGAGCAAATACTTCAGCACAGACTGTTTGAATAGGTACCTCGCCGCCCTCACTTTTGGACCTTGCCTTATCAAACACTTTATACAGCAGCTCGATTCCTGCCATCAGTAAGTTGACGCTTGCTATCAGATGTTTCCTTGATAATCCGTCCAATTTTGACTTGATATCGTCTAGTCTTGTAAGTCCTGTAGGTATTGTGTCTTTGTAAGTAATGTAAATGTTATGCAATATCTATAAATTAAAAAAAAAAAACAAAAAACAAAAAATTGTTCACGGACGATCACTCTGCGACATTTCTGATCTGTTATGACGTTTCCATGACAGAAACGAAACCGACAAACGGACTTCCAACAGACCGACTTAATTTGACTAACAATAGACGGACCAAAAACCGACCAATTTGACTAACAATAGACGGACCAAAAACCGACCAATTTGACTAACAATAGACGGATCGAAACCCACCAATGACTGATGACAAACTTTTCACGAGTCGTTGAGCCAATACCATCATGGCTAAACTGACCAATCATGTTCAACGGACCAGACTTATAACATCATCGACTGACAAAAACTATTCACTTGACTCTGAAGATGACTTCCCTTAGGTTGTCGAAACGTCAGTCACCAACAAGGGTTCTTTTCATAACTACCCTCACCCGGACGATCACACTATACGAACTTCTAACTTTAATGTTGTTATTAATAAGAGAACCATTGCACAGGTCAATGAAACAGTCTTTCTTGGGGTAGTTTTAGATTCCAACTTAACTTAGAAGTCTCTTATATCTAGCCTAGCGGATAAAATATCTAAATCCATAGGCATAATTTTTAGCTCTATTTTTATTTTTCAACACCTTCTCTTCGCATGCTACTTAACCCAATGATGCTTCCATACCCTAATTATTGTAATCTAGGTTGGGGATCAACTTATAAAACCAGCATTTAAAGAATTGTAATTTTGCAAAAAACGTGTGATTAGGATAGTGGACAAGTCCTATTATAGTGCTCACACAGAACGTATTTTTAAGAAGCTTAACTTGCTTAAATCTCAAGACATTCAAGCAAAACAAAAACTTAAAGCATATATTATCGGTAACTATTAACTATGTCATTAAACAAGGCTTGCCATTAATTACTTTATCTAAGTTAGTTATCTGGTGCTTCTTGAGAGGGAACCTAAGCTTACAACTCCGTGGTTTTTATTAGGTTCCCTCGCTATTTTGTATTGTATCCTTTAATATATAAATTGTAGTTTTGCATTTTCATCGTAATCCTGCTTATTAATTTTTGTTATTCACTAAACATTGTACTCTAGTTCTATTTTTGTTGTGTGGCAAATCAATACAACAAATAAAATAAATAAATAATAATAATAATAAAAAAAAAAACCTCTGTCCCTGATTCGTGCCAGGACAGCATTACTTGGCCCTGAACAGTAAGATATTCAAGGGCCAGGCTGATAGCAGCCAAAAAGCTGCGGCTGTACGATGAAGTCTTATATTATGATCATTGTTGTTTTCTTGTGCACCCGCGTAAACGAAATCCCTTGACTACTGTAACGGAGGACCAGAAAGGGCCAATAAAAAATAGTCATAATTCTTTTGTAGCACGGCATTTGGGCCAGGACTGAAGTGACCAACAAATGGGCATTTCTAGGACAAATTTATAGTTGCGAGTAAATGTGTAACCTTTTTCCTAGGAGAAACATTCCTTCAATTTGCTGTCACAGTGAATTCCCTGAGAAAATTTCCCAGTAACTCACCCAACAATCCAATGGGTAATTCCCTGTATGAGACTCGCCTGCAAGGAATCATGGTTGTCAGTGTATTCATGACAACTAACATCCAGTCCAAGATGACGAATACAACTATCATAATTTCTTGCAGGCGCGTCTCATAGTGGGAGTTGTCCGTTGGCCAGAGGAATGTGACCGCAGGGCCTAATCTACACCTTCAGCGAGCAAAAGGTAGTAAGGTTGATTCACAGGGCCGGCTACCAAACAACTAAACACAAACTTTTCGAAATTATGAAACATGTTCCCCGTCCAATTATTCTAAGTTCAATTCAAATTTAGCAGTCAGTGTCTTGTAACGCATTTTCTCTCAATGCTTTCATCGCTTCTGAGCAACCTGCGAGACGCAGGGCGTCACACAGAGTTTTAATCGTTGCTCCTTCAGGGCCTTGACCGTCCTTCCATACTAAAAGCCCTTGGTAACACTTTTCATCAACTGAAGCGTTCTTGTAGTCCTCATACAAATTTCTTATGATTGCCTCCTTGATGGACAGTTTTCGAAGAACGAGCTTCCACTTGACTCCAACATAGGGGCTAATATCCCAGAGAAGGTTTTCCGTTACTGGCTTACCATCGCTAAGGCCCAGTGATGTGAAAAAGTGGTCACACAGAACGTATCTATTTTCTCTCGAAGAATCTAAAATAAATAAATAAATAAATAAATATTAATCAACTATTAATATGCCATGCTAACTACATCGTGGATCAGCCTGTAAAAGGAACTAGTGTATCAGTTCCTCTCTCGTAATATCTCAAAGCATTGCCACTCGGCGGTATGACCTGGCAAAAGCCCTATGTCTGACGTCTTTTACTCTTGTATTTTCTTTTCTTTTCTTTTCTTTTCTTTACTTTGTTTTTTTGCGTTCATCTCAGACAAATGAAACAACAACAATACCAAAAACTAAACAGCAATCGCATCAACAGTATGTCATAGAAACTGGTATAGAAGATGCAGTTTTAAATTTGTCTGTGTTGTCTCGGCGATCTAGCTGATGCAAAAGCGATCGTGCAAGTTCTTTCTTCACTCCTTTTTTCTCCTTTAGTCTCGTAGACCTCGTCTCGTCTCGTTTCGTCCCCTCTCTTTTTGTGTTTCATGGACTTTGCCTGAAAGTTCGCCCACGTCACTGTTTTGATTCTGAATTACTAAATTGGCATTTACTCAAAGCTCTTTTAATTGGGATTCCTTGCCTAAGGGCTTGGGAAATATTAAAAGAAAGGGATGTTTTCCAAGTCTCTATGGGTGCTTTTGATTAACTCATTTTCATTATTATCACAATTAAACCCTTGATAAAAACCTGGTGATGATCGTCCCTCCTGATTGTGACTGTCACAGTCGTCATCTTCCTCCTTGGGCCCTGTCGAGGTGGAACATCCAGCTATCGCACGGGTGTTATTAGAGGCAGTGACAATTAAGCCCCCCGCTGCGGGCTTTCGCCGGATATTCTGCCGCTATAAAAACAAGCATGAAAATAATACCAAGTTAGAATATAATACCAATCACCTTTGTAGAGTAGGAAGAGTTATTTAGCACTTCAAAGAAAACAATATTACATGAAAAGCCAGCCTGTTCTACCTGCCGAAGTTGTCCCAGTATTCCGTCTTACCATTTTTATTCGATTTTAATTTGCGAAAGTTCGTAACTTTATCTGAGGTTTATTTTCAAACAAGCCGGTGTGGCGTGTCACGAATGAGAGATAGCTTGATGTTTCCATTGCATCCATGTTTTGACGGAACTGTTTATTTATTTTCTTGTTTTTGATCATTTATTGCCATATTTTTTGCGTTAATTTTTTAGTTATATCTATATATTTTAGAGACGTTTTAGCATTGCTTAATTTGCTTGATTGCATGATTTGCATTGCATCTGAGTCATCTTTGGTGATGTGATTTCTTCATGTTAAAAATCAGGAACTTCACGGATCGCGAACCCAAGAGAGCGGCTGCTTGTATATCATGACGCGATGATCCCATGTTGCTTAATTGGCATTCTACAAACTCTACGGTTTTGATTATCATTGCTAATCTATTATTAAAGTTAATTAGGGGGTCAGATTTTCCCTTTCTCCAACCCCGCTTATAAAAGATGTAGTATAGATCAAAATAACCTGGCGACTTCGAATTGGCTTTGGCAGTAACGAATTCCCAACTTCATGGTTCGAAATGACCAATCTAACCACTTTGAAAACATAGAGTTTCACCTTCTATCATAATGCCCCTGTCTCATAACATACAACATAGCCGAATCTAATCGGTCAAATTAACCCTCGGACGCACAAGCTAACTTATACCCCCACCGTGGTAGAAGGGAAGGAGGTGGATGGGATCCCCCTTGGGTTCTCGTTCTGTTAAGACACAGTGGAATAAATTTACATTGTATATTTAGCCCTGAGCTTGTTCTACAAAATGATACCATGTTTGTTGGTTGCGACGTTATATGACGTCATTTTACCTCCCTTCTTGGATCCGCCATCTTAGATTCCACTATTTTCTTGAAAAGTCAAGAAATAACGGAAATTAATACAAAATCAAGCCAGAATACCTATGAAATCTATAGATTGTTGAATTTCTGGAAGTTGATGAGGAAAAATGAAAATAAAGTACATTATGTCCCAAAAATTGATCTTTGGCCAAACCTATATGAAATTTGTGGTTGCCATAGCAACGTATAAAATGATGGACACACAATTGTCATATCAACATATCCGCGAAGAATGATTGAACTTGCAGCTACTGAAAGTTTCAGGACCTTAGATTACATCGTCTTTTCAAAACTTCGGAAAAACCTTATGAGGGCGGCATCCACTCCCCACCCCTTCTTGTAAGTCCGAGGGTTAAAGGCTTCCTCTACTACAACACGTATTTTCCTCTACCTTTAAAGGCGTAAACCCTGGATTCAGGTAAATTGAGTATTCTTGGATGTGGCCTTCCTGTTGAAACTTTACAATACAAGAAAACCCGTCCACATCTCGACCATCCTCTGGTTTCACAGCAAAATCGCAGGCATTGTTAGTGCGAAATCCATTCCTACTGCCTTTCTCGTAGTGGTATATCTACAAACGATAAGATACAACCAGCTGCTCGGTGATAACAGCATTTTTAGATTAAAGAAATGACTCAGTTTGGCTAACGTTGAAAATTGAGAGGATATGATATCAAAGAAACGAACAAATCAATGGCTTTTGCTGTTTTTCACGGCTCTCAGAAGCTTCGAACACGGAAGATTTGTTATGGGATATGGGACAATTGAGTTAAGAAGAGAGGAGCTCAGTATTCGCTCAATTGTAATTGAATGGAATGTGTATTAAAAGGTGTCTAAGAAACGCAAAACAGAAAGATCGGGCCACCGTTACACCAACTTAGTTCCCTTTTCCCAGCCAATAAACAGTGCATGCTTAAAGACAAAGATAATTTGTAAAATTTGTGAGACAACGCCTTTCGTATCAGATACTAACCCAGATGAACCGATGATCAAATGGTAGTAAATTAAAGTGGCTCCTACTCTTTTGTTGTGGGCCGACTTGATTGCCGGTTTGTGAGGCTAAGCAATTCTCCAAACACCTGCGCCATATCGACTGTGAGTCTTGGCATGATAACTTTTTGGATTAAAAGACATAGTAGATTACCTGCATATCGTTGGTCTTGTCGAATTTCCATCCTTCTTCAAGATTAGTGAGTTTTACCGTGATCACTTTGCTGTCACTGTACATTCTAAAGGGCTGCTCCCTGGCTAGCTTCGAGTCAGGAAACCGTTCTCTATCTTTTAACTCCACGTGCTTGTGAAAAGAACAAGTAAATGAAGAAGATGTTCAAGTGCGATACCAAATAAGTAAAGCTATTGAATATCCAACAAAAACATCTTCCAAAAAGAAGATCTGCAATTCTTTCTAGAGTTGTACCGTTTTATGCTCTTGTCATTTGCTATTTTTTTGTTCAGAGCCCACTGAGCCATCCATCCATCCATCCACCCACCCATCCACCCTATCCTTATAATTATTCCTATCGTTCAATCGATCACTTACCTTCTTAGAATCCTCGTTATCACTGTAGACGTAGAATCGTAAGTAGATAAGGTCGCTTTTGGGATCCGGTCTGCTGGAAAAAACTGTCGCTCTCTTCCTCCTTGGCCCGCCACAGGCAAATATGCTCCAGAGTGAGAAAGTCTTGGTTTTTATGCGAATAGAGTCTTCTCCCACTGTAAACCAAGACCTGCTCTGACTGTTTTTCTCCGATTTACTAGGCACTCTCTCCCAGCTTAAGCGACCTAGTATCAAACATTGGATGGATTATTTCCTGTTAACAACAATCAACTACAAGCGGTGCTTAAGTGGCTGTGCCCACGCATAATCCCTATGTCAACGCCTAGGTCGTTGCATTGTGTTTAAACGTAACTTATAACTTATAACTTCTATGTTTATGCTTATGTATACACCTATGCCTTTCCCTGTGCAAGTGGTTTCTAGATCTGCGTTTGGTATCGAGGGAGATTATGATCTTTGTGAGAGATATTACCTCTCGTGTTTAATTAAGAAAAGAGGATACCAGTGTAAAACACAAACAAACAAACAAACAAACTACCATTACCTTCGAATTCAGCAGAAAAATTACCACATCTGTAGACAGTTATCGATTCCTTTCTAGCTTCCCTTAAGCAGAGGCAATGCGGGACGATAATTTCGACTGGCTTTGACAGGTGGATGTCATGAGGCCCGCATTCAACCACGGGAGAAATAAGAGTCTTATCGGGTGCCTCCGAGAAATCCTGCATCAACGCTGTCTCGTCTGAAAACACTCCAAAGAAGACATGTTGGCTTATTCCAGCGGGAATCGCACCTCTAGGAACGATTATACGTACGTCAGAGTCCAATGGTTCACTCAACTCTCCACCAGTACTGGTAAATGTGGCCTCTGATTTTGTAATGTATTTTGGAACTGACGTGGGAAGGTGACTGTGTAGAGTTTCGTTTTTGCAGTTCGGTGAATCCCGATCCCTCTCATTTTGTATCTGAGAAAATAAACAAATAGTAACCTCCTAACTAACTTTGGGCAGAATGGCATGATGAAGCCATTTGAAGGATGATAAGGGTGTTTAGGCCTTATAGCTAATAGATATATTAATGTATTCATTTCTCGTTCTCACAAATGATATCGTACGTTTGACAAAGGTTTTGTCTATATCGCACTCTACTGCAAGCTCTGTCGTTCATAGCTCGTCTCATTATTAATTTCTCAATTTGAACCATACTTACCTTGTCATTTGTTAGTTTATTAATTTAAACTTGTTTTTTGTTTCGATGCCTCACTAGACTTCCATTCTGGGGTAGTTTTACACTTTGAAACAGAATGAGACTTTTTTAGTATTGTTTGATTGATTATTGTTTTTTTTTTTTTTTTTTTTTTTTTTTTTTTACCATGTAATTTATAGATACTGATCATTAGTTTATACCAGCGTCTTCCTTCCGGACTTCGCTGATCGGTCTTTCAGTTTTAAATAAAGCTATTATTATTATTATTATTATTATTATTATACATGGTAGATTTTCTACAAGACGACGAAGATCAAGAATATTTGATACTTAACCTACCTGAACCAAGGTTTCACTCATTTCAAGGGAGAGAAGTGGAGACCTTGAAGAAATAACTGGATCGGATGTCATTCTTTTATCACGGCTGCAAAAGTAATATATCAAGTATACCTAGTGGGAAAACGAATTCTTGAATACACGAACCGGATTGGAAATAAGCCGTTATCTATATTTTATTAATTAACCAAGTGAAAGAGACATACTAATAAAGTAACCGTCATGAATCTTGACAGTACGGAATAACTCACATCATCGGCCGTACAGAAGACCTCAAGGGACATTTTCCAAGTACATTTCCAAGCAAGTTTGGCAAATTACTAAACTAACCGCAAGTCTAGTAAGATGTTTTAAATCAAAATCTCGTCATTATTCCGATTCCCCATTCTGCTTTGCTGTCTTCCGTTGTATTTCTACTATGCTACTCTATTCTGTGCAATGTTTTGCTATGCTTTACTGTGTTGCGCTGTACTATACCGATGCTGCGCTATGCCATACTACGATATATTAGGGTGATGCTACGTTTTATGCTGTTAGGCGCTCAGCTAATTTCTGCTATGGCATGCTGCGTTATGTTGTGCTTTGCTAAGCTCTAGGTTAAGCTAATTTTTGCTTTGCTGTTATATATTGTTCATATGGAAGAAAAACTTACAGATAGTGTTTCCGCACGAAAACCAGAACAATCAGAGCAATAATAATAACAATAAGCGTTAGGAGTCCTGCGACGGTGCCTGATACTCTTTTAACTTGATTAGACATCGCTGTTTTTCTTGTCTCTGTGATAAAATAATAAGACATCAGCAAAATTAATGGCAAGTCATAACAGGCGCGACAAACAGGGAGTGCAGAAATTTACGTTCAGCGTGATCGTGACGATACAACTGTATCTTGTACCTCTCGGGAACGTTTGCGGACAATAATTTAAAGCTTTGAATGACAGACTGTTCATAAAACAAAACCGTGAATAAAAAGTGTGTGTTTATGGGTCAGGGGGCCTAGGGGGTATAGGAGAATCTTTGTTTACAATATTTGCCTCATTACCATAAGCGATACAGTTTCTGATGGAGCTACAAAGAGATTAATACTGAATATTGAAAGG